ATGCCAAAAAAAGCAAAAAAACAAAAAAAAAAACCAAAACACACATAAAACAAAAACAAAAACAAAAAAAAAGCAGGGTAGGGGAAGAATGTTAACCTAGCTTAATTTATAAAGTTATTTTATAAAGTTATTTTCTTCCATAACTAATTAAATAATTAAATGAGATCATCTATATGTTGATTATAGTCAGCAAAATGTATTCCGTATAGAGGCCTCTAGGTTTATCTAAATAATCCAGAGTTTAATTAGTATGTGATAGTAAATATATCCGCCACATTTGGTCTATACCAGGGCTTGATTTCCCTATTTTCATTTGATTCCACATTAACAATTCATGTTCCACTGTTGAGGTCATTAATTCTTCAATTTCTCGTCGAGAAGGTAAAACCTTGGTCTTCCATTGTCTAGCAATTAATATAGATGCTGTACTTAAGAGAAAAATCATTTTCTTGCTTAATTTTGGTAAATTACTTGGAAGTAGTCGTAACAGTATAGTTTTAGGATCTTGAGATAGTTCAATATTTGTCACATGTTTTATCATCTTGATAACATCATTCCATAAGGAATTAACTGCTTCGCATGACCACCAGACATGTAACATAGTACCTTTAGCTTTATGACATCTCCAGCACTGGTTTGACGTTAAGGGGAACATAGAATTTAAACGTGTTGGTACTAGGTACCACCTATAGAGAATTTTCCGTGCTGCCTCAATATGGGTGGTACTGGTAGTTAGCCCTATATGGGCCGTAAACATTTGTTTCCATTCCGTCAGGGGAATGTTAACTTTTAAATCTTCTTGCCAATCTTGCATAAATTTCCAATTACTCTGCTCAACAGGGTTAGCCAATTTTTGATAACAAATAGGCAATGTCTTTTTCGGAGGACGTAACGATAAGCATTGTTTTTCAAATTCTGTTATGGAAGCTTGAAGCGTTAATTCTGCTGTTGAAATCTTATTTATGATTACCATCGCTTTAATTTGAAAATAGGCAAATATAAAATTTGAGGGTAATGAAAATTCTTCTTGTAATGCTGGAAAAGATTTAAGGCCCTTTATACTGCATAAATGGAATATATGTGTAATACCTGCCCTTTCCCATTTCTGATAAGGAAACGTACCATTACAGTAAAATAAAATTTTAATTGGGGTCGCAAGGGCCCATGGATATGCTGAACATATTTTGTCTCTACAAGTGTCCCAAATTTTGAGAAAATGTTTAGTTAAAGGTAACATATTCTCAATTTTTTGTCTCATTTGATACGGTTTCCAAAGTATTGTTGAAAGGTCTTGTGTTCCACAATAATTACTTTCTATTGCTACCCATTGGGGGGAATAATCCTTTGAATGAACACTAATAACATTCCTTAAAATAGCTGAGTGATAATATGCTTTTATATTAGGTATTCCCATTCCACCATTCATCACAGATCTCAAAAGTAAAGCTTTAGGTACTCTGGGGTGTTTACCACCCCAGCTGAAACGTACAATGGATGCTTGAAGAGACAGTAAATACTTTTGCGGAAGTTTAATATGCAATGCTCTAAAAAGATATAAAATCTTTGGTAGAATTGACATTTTAAACGCTGCGATCTTTCCCATCCAAGATAAGAACAGATGTTTCCATGAATCCAATTGTTTATCAATTTATTTCAGAAGCTTTGTGTAGTTAGCTGAGAAGAGCTCTTTCTCTTTATTAGTTATTCTGACACCTAAGAAAATTAAATAATCTTCTCTCCAATCATACTGATAGCTTATTTTTAATCTGTCTTCCATTGCCTTCGTAGTATTAAGACACATAGCTTGCGTTTTTACAATATTAAGTTTATAGTATGATTGTTGGCTGTATAATTGCAGTTCTTTATGCAGAGAGGGGAGTGTGATAAGTGGTTGTGTTATTGTAAGAAATACATCGTCAGCAAATAAGCTAAGTTTATACTCCTTATTGCCTACTAACACACCGTGGATGTTACCATTTCTCCGTATTGATATTGCAAGAGGTTCCAAAGCTAACACATAGAGAAGTGGGGATAATGGGCATCCCTGACGGGTCCCATTAGTGATTGAAAAAGCTTGCGACTGAAAACCTGCGTATAATACTGTTGCTGAAGGTACACTGTATAAAGCTCTAACTGCAGAAAGAAAAAAGGATGGGAATCCATAGGCCAATAAGGTTTCCTGAAGGAATAACCAATTCAAGCGATCAAAGGCCTTTTCGGCGTCAAGGGATATCATAATGCTTTCCTGTTTAGTGCGGTTTAGGATTCCCGGTAAATCTAACACTTTCCGAATATTATCTGGTCCTTGTCTGCCCATCACAAATCCTACTTGGTCTGTATGTATTAATGTCGGTATAATATTACTGAGTCTTTCTGCAAAAATCTTCGCATAAAGTTTAGCATCAACATTTAATAAAGATATTGGTCTAAAATTTTGACACGTTGTTAATGATTTCCCAGGCTTAGGAATGGTAACTATATGAGCAGACAGGAACTCCGTCGGGAAGGAACCCAATCTAGTAGCGCTATTAAAAAATTTAGTAAGAGCTGAGATTAATTCATTTTTAAATGTAGCATAGTATACACTAGTATACCCATCTGGGCCTGGTGTTTTCCCTTTTGGCATAATTTCAATTAAACGCATCACTTCATCTGTAGTGATAGGTGCACATAATTTTTCTAGATGTTCTGGTGTTATTTGGGGAAGGGCAATATTTGCCAGATATGAACGTATAGATAAATATGTAGGTTGGGATTGAGTATGCTGCTCTTTCAGATTATATAGAGTCATATAATAATGTGCAAATTCGTTACATATCTGTAGCGGTTGCATAATTTTATGACCTTCTTGCGTCTTTATGAATGAAATTCTTGCTTGTGCTTGTTTATTCTTCAATCTTTGAGCCAAAACTTTAGTTGCCCTATTTCCCATCGAATAAGATGTTGCCTTCAATTTCTTTATTGCTAGATTAGCTTTCCTAGAATGAACTGCATTAATCTCTTCACGCATTTCCAAAAGTTGCTGTTGAAGAGCTTGAGTAGATTTTGCTTGATTTTCTCTATGAAGATCCTGTAGTTTTTAAGAAGAGTAATCAATGTTGTATGATTTGTTTTTTTAAGAAAGGATGCTCTACTCAATAATATCCCGCGTATAACAGATTTATGAGCCAGCCATAGTGTAGCAGGGTTCGTATCTTCCTTATCATTTATACTAAAATAGTGCTGTAGTTCGTTTCTAATCTTTTCCACAAATATGGTGTCATTAAGCAATTGTTCATTCAATTTCCATGGACTTCTGTTTTTATATTTATATATATATCCTTTAGAGTAAGTAGTACTGGGTTATGATCTGATTGTGTCGAAGTACCTATCTCACAGGAGGTTATTTGTTGTATATGTGTGCCAAGCATAAAATACCCATCTATTCGAGAATACGTATTATAAACTTGTGAATGGTGTGTAAATTCCCTACCCTCTGGGTGTAAAATTCTCCATATATCATACAATCCATATGCAGCTAGTGTTTTGTTAAATGCATTACATTGTTTTTGTAAAGCTTTTTTCCTTTTATGAGTATGAGAAGCTGTAGAGTCTGCAATAGGATCTAATATATGATTAAAGTCTCCACATATAATCAAAGTTCCTGTTTGTACCTTCTCTACTTCCTCTAGTAAATTGGACAAGTAGCTCAATTGATTTTTATTCGGAAAATAGGAATTAACTATCGTATAGGTGGAGTTATTTAGTACACATATAAGAATAATATATCTACCCTGTGAATCTTGTTGGACAGATATCTGATCAAAGGCAAGTGTCTGGTTAACCAATATTGAGACTCCTCTATTTTTAGATGGGGAAGTAGCATGAAATTGGTAGGGATAATTTTTCACTCCTATTCTAGGATTGGAACCATGTTTAAAATGGGTCTCTTGTAAGCATATAATATCGGCTTCTGATTTATAAAATTCTTTACAAAGTGAGTACCGCTTCTGAGGGATATTTAATCCTCTAACATTGTGAGTATAGAATTTCATTTTATCCGACTCACAATGAGGGGAAAAAAGAGAGAAAAGAGGAGAGGAGGAAGAAAAGAAAAAAAAAAAAAGGAGGGAAAGGGGGGAAAAAAAACAACTATTTATTAAAAATGGACAGATCAATGATATGTGCCTCTTATGGCACTTCTTAATTGGGGGAAAATGTATACGGATTGGGTTCAGAAGGTGGCAATCTAAGGCCCCAAAATTATACCGCTTCTTACAAAGTGGCACTGAAAAAATGCCAGCTTATATTATAATAAGGAATTTACTACGTCAATTCCAAAACTGGAAGAAGCTTAATTTAATAATTCTTAATAATTATCAAATATTATAGTGGGTTCCTTCATAAAAAAATAAAAAAAAAACAACTTACGTTATATACACTTATACCCGTCTCTATTAAAAACCATTAATCGGTTCATTTCAATTACTTAAATGGGTATTTCCATTGCATACAGTTTAAACCTTCTATCTGTTAACTTATATAAGACACCTATTGGTTTGTCTCTTAACATATCTTGATTACAACTTATCTAGCTGCTTATATACCAATACCCATTAACTATTTTTTTTTTAATTGTATATCAATATTTTATATGCCTGTATATATAGTTAACGTATCATATTACATCTTTAACAGGTAAAAATAACAAAACCAAAACTAAAAAATAAAAAAATAAAAAAAATAAAAAAAATATTATATATATATATATATATGTATATATATATACACACATTATATATATATATATATATACCCAAGTTTATAGAAGAAAGTCCCATTATAATCAGTCACTTATACAAACCTATATTCCACACCGCTAGTTGAATCATATACATAACTTGAGTGAGTATTTCTAATACAATATTTTAACCTTTTTAATCCTTTATCTAGTTATCTAAGTTAAATGGTTAGCCATTTTACATATCTTATTATAATTTATCTAGCGGCTTTTAATTCCACTAACCTAGTTTTATTATAATCTTACCTAGTGATTTAAAAATTTAAATATGTCATTAATATGACGTATCACGTATTGTACCAGTAACATATCAAAATAACTGAAAAACCAAACTTAAATACACTCTCTGTTCATAAATTATGCTTTACCAACAGTTTAAACAGAGGAGAAAAAAAAAAAAAAAAAAATTTTTTTTTATAATTATAATCTATACCAATATATAAACATATATATCAACTAATATCCAATAATATCTGTAATATCAATAATATCAATAATCATAATTGTATCAAACCCTTGCTGGATTCACAGGAGCTTATTATTGGTCCACCTCCAATACATCAAATCATGGATTTCTCAATTTAGTCAAAAACCAGAGCAGAAACTTCTGTCTTCTATCTTCCATCTTCTCTTATCGTCTTTATATTAATTCGTTTTTATAAGATCTTCTTGGGGGTTCTTCATTATACCCCACTCTTGTAGAAGCTTTAAACCTTCTTCCGGTGATGGCAATGTCAAAGATTTCCCATTTTTCATAATGACTAACTTAATTGGGTAACCCCATCTATAGGGAATGTTGTTAAATCGAAGTATCTCTAGTATTTCTTTAAAAGCCCTTCTGCGTCGTAATGTTTCTGCCGAGAGATCTGTAAATAACAAAACACCTTCATACTTCCCAGTCAGTTTCCCCTTACTTCTGTGAGTTCGCATTATCTTATCTTTCACATGATAATAATGAAGTCTTATTAATACATCTCTTGTTATAGATATAGGCAGATGCTGTGGTCTAGCAAGTCTATGTAAACGGTCAGATAGAAGCATTTCTGATGGTGTATCTGGTACGATGGAAAGAAATAAGCCTCTCATGTAAGATTCCAAATCTTGAACTCCAATTTCTTCAGGAACTCCACGTATCCGAATATTATTACGCCGGGATCTATCTTCTACATCTATTAATTTTAATTCATGTTGAAGTATCCTATGCTCTATTGCATCCAACCGGTCTCCCAGCATTGCATTGGTTACAGTGAACTCATTGATTTTCCCCTCTAGATGTACAGTCCTGGCATCTAGATCTATAAAATTTACTTTTAAATCGGCAATAGCTGCTTCCACTGTTAATTGCATCTTGTTAACTGCCGCGTCCAGCATTTTCTGCATAAGATTTGTTGTAAGTTGAGTCTCTTCTTTATTTATTGCTACTTGCACAGGTATATTCGGAGAGGAGAGTAAGGGTGGTCCTAGTTCCTGATCAGACCCAGCTTCCACGCTTTCTTGAGTGTTATCCTTAGTCTGACTGTCAGCTTGGCTGTCAGTATGTTTATTCTGACTTTTTGCTGCAAAAAAGGACCCCTTATCTCTAACCTCCGCTGTTGCTTTTCTTGTACGATTGGGAGACATTTTGGTCTGTAAAGCCTATAGGTCTTACCCCTTACCCCTTTCCTCCAGCCCACACTGCACCACACCAACAGCAGACAACAACCAGCAATTTTTCCAATCAGGGCTCCTCAGGGCTCTAACGGCTTTTTCTCCCTTTTACTCAATTTTACTCACTCTTACATCCAAAAGAACTTCTCAGCCGGTATACAGCTAATAACCAGCAATCTGTGAGTTGGTCCACCCATCCGTCTCCGCCATCCAATACTGCCGCCAAAACTGCCGCCAAAACATCGGCGGTATCCCAAAAAAAATGTGGCAGATTGCAGGCAAGCAGGCAAACAGTGCAAGACTTCTCCACTCTCACTCCACTTCTCCACTCCTTCACATCAAACAACGCGGTAAGCTGTCTTTTTTTTCCGCCGCGTAGTGGGACCCAGAGACAGCGAGCTCTCTGTGTGCAGCCATCCTTCCCAACATCCGGTCACGCCCCCTGTCTAGTTCTAGCCATTATATTGCATAATTATGTTATACTAAATATTCACTGATTATTATCATGCATGTTGCCTAATATTATTGTTTTATTTGTCACAATAAATTATATATATTTATAACAAATTGTGATTTTTATTTGTATGGAATACATTTCACTTACATGATAACGATCTCTAAGATCTAAGAGAATTGAAATAGTGGGCAATTCTCAACTGTTTAATATTATCATCCCATAAATATCCCCACAATACAGTAAGCACATATAACAATGTGCTGTTAATGGATGCACTCACAAGATTTTGTGGAATAAAAGCGCTCACAAGGTGCCTCCCCCAGTATAGTGGGGGGCTAGTTGTCCACTTTCGGTTGTAAGAGGGCAGTCTGTTTTGTTACCTTTTAGAATGGTTTTGATGGGGTATGAAGAAAGGAAAGGGGGGTGATTGGGAAAGGTGGTGAGGGCGTGGTGCTGTATGCCTGTAAGATATAATTTGATGGTGTTATGTGCTGATTTAGGTGTAACTGACAGAAATAGGCAAAAGCCACCATGGTCTCAATAGAATAATTATCCAGTAAGCGAAATTCCCCACCAAATTTGCAGAAAATTGTTAATGCCCTATCGTATGCTGTCTTGCAGTGTGTGCAGACAGAGCATTACGTGAAAGTGTCCCGTTTTCCTTCCTGACATGTCATCCCTTCAGCAGCTTACCTTAATCCAGCGCCGGGCTCCCTCGGCACTGGTGACCTCTCCTCCCTCGCTGCCATCAGCTCCCGAGTGGAGCGGAATGTGCATGTGCGGCAAGAGCCGTGCGCACATTCAAACAGTCCATAGGAAAGCATTTCTCAATGCTTTCCTATGGATGTTCTGCATGGTGGATGCGAATTTCACATCCAGCCTCGTAGAAGTGCCTCTAGCGGCTGTCAGGAAGACAGCCACTAGAGGTTGGATTAACCCTGCTATGTTAACATAGCAGTTTCTCTGAAACTATGTTTACATGTGAAGGGTTAAAACCTGAGGGACCTGGCACCCAGACCACTTCATTGAGCTGAAGTGGTCTGGGTGACTAGAGTGTCCCTTTAATTCTGTTAGTCCATAATTAGCTCCGGGAATGTCGGGATTCTGGATGGGTGTTCATTGGCAAAGGGATGTACCTTGTAAAATACCTGAATTAGACCGGGATAATGCGTCAGCTGCAGTATTATGTAAGATGTCAATCTACGTACCAATCACATTATGGTCATGAGGAAGAGCGCCCTTTATTGATTATCTTGCAAGCCTCCAAATTATCTGAAAAATACTTGACTGCCTTCCGGCCCAAAGATGACCCCATGTATGTGCTGCTGCTAAAATCTCAAAGGGTTGAGGTTTCTTTAAAGGCCAGCAAGGTAAGTGTATCTTGAGGCCAAACATCCCTAAACCAGTGGTTACCAAATATTGCGTCAAACCCAGTGTGGGTTGCTGCGTCAGTTAAATTAGAGGTGAATGTTCGGTCAGTGGGGAAATAGAAATCGAGATGCCGTTCCATTCTGAAAGGAAGTGCTTACACATGAGTAAATCTGCTATGGCTGGGGGATTGAGGACTATGGTGCCATAGTCAGGCTCGTTGGGTAGAAGGCAGAGTAACCTGGAGATAAACGATCTCCCCTGTGGAATAATATGCATCGTAAAATTTAGGTATCCCAGTAAAGACTGAAGATCCCTCCGTGTACCAGAACCTTTTTGAAGGAATTGGTCCAGTTCTTGCCTGATGCGTAACAATTTCTCATGAGAAAGTCATGCCTGCATTGACAGTCTAGTGAGAGACCCAGGAATACCAATTTTGTCATAGGGCCTAACCTGTCGGTGGTCAATGGAACACCTAGTGTTGAAAACACCTGTCTCGATCAGTAGGAACTCGTCCAAATACTGTATAACCATGGGACGTTTGACCACATTCAGGAGCAGCCAGCAGAGAGTCTCTGAAAAGATGTTGAATAGTTTTGTGCTGCTCCTGGAGCAGCCTTTGGCTCCTATCTTGACTGACGGAGGAGGTAGTAGTGGGGTGGGATGTGGAGGGGTCTGCTTCACAGGGACACAAGTTGGAGTGTGGTAGACGAACATACCGCACAAGTGTGTTGAACTGGACCAGAGCTGCTACTGCTTTAGTTGATACCAACTTGTGGTAATCATAGAAAGCAAAACCCCCCATACTTGTGCCCTTTGTCCACCACCTTGTGTAAATCGAGGTCAAATTCCTCCCGCCTCTAGTGGTATACAGAGCACATGACATCTCTGTATAATCCAAAGCCGAGGATGAATTTGAGGATGGAAAGTTTTTTGTTTTTTTTTGTTTTTTTTTATTAAGATGTGGATCTCTAGTTTTGAGGATCACAGAAATATCTCTGTAATTAAAAGCTCTATTTTCTAATATACCCTACGAAGCAATAAGGAGAGAGACTAGGCTGACATCCTTGCCATTAAGAATGTCTTTCTTAATAGAAACAGGAACCGAGTGTGTAGGGGCAATGACGTGCGAAGTGGTGGGAGTGGGCGCATTAGTAATGGCACTACCCTGTGTATTTGAGGGTGCAGTGGCTGGAACATCAGATGCGCTGATAGTAGTAGGGATGATGTTTTCTATCTTGGTCATCCTTTCATTAAGCAATTGAAGGGTAGACAAGATAGATGACAAGGTGTCTTCTACTTGTCCAAAGCTGTGGCATGGGACTTCTGTGAACTTGTGCCGGGCCGGGATCGCTGGACTGTACTGATAGCAACTTATATAGTTCCGCTTTCTTAGCTGTGGCCGGGAAAGGGACATTTCTACAGCATAGTTCTGCTGACAGTTTAGGTATGGTCCAGGATCTCAGGGACCCAGGGATAGCAGGGATGAGAGATTCTGCAGCTGATCTTGGTCTAACAGACGTGCTGGGTCTGGATGGAGTGCCCTGGAGAGACAGGTCGTCTCCTTGGATTGATTCTTGTGACATTCTATAAAGAAATTAGTAAATAAAAATACTATTTTTCAAAGACATGGTATCCCATATGTAGAACTGGCTTGCTAGCTAGTGCCGGTGGCAAAACCTAACTACCCTGTGACATCCCTACTATTTGCCAAGTGGCGATGAGAGGCTATACCTATGGTTTGGCCCGTGGAGAAATGAGGCCACAAATTGGTGTGGCGGGATGTTTGCCGCTCAGTGATGGTAAAGAGACAAAATACGCATGGCTGTGGCATGTGATGCCATAAAAACCAGTACAAAAGGGGATATGAGGCAATTTATCAAAACATTGGGCAATACCTTCGAGAGAGGTGGGGTATTGGTCTTGCTGGATTGTGAAAGTAAGTTAATTGAATAAGGCCAGCTACTAACCCTTGCAGTCAGTTCTCTATCCCTAGCAGGGGCTTGTCTTATAAGAAGTTGCGTAATTGTAAACGTACGTACCTAAATAAACTGAAATAGAAACAGAGGAAGAAAGAGCTGGAGGGAAGATATAGCTGGAAATGACACATATCGGAAATAAAGTTCAACAATTAAACTGTGTAACGTGATATACTGGGTTATTGCTAAGTGTATATAAATAGAATGTTCCATTAAAGAGATGATGAGGGCGTAATATAACCAGAGAGGGGTCTGTTATGTGTACCTACAAATAATTGAAGATACGTGTGGGTAAAAGAAGGCACAAATGTGGGAGAAGAGATTAGAGAGAAAATTATAAAATACCTGATAGGCATGGGAATATAACTCTCTGTATCCTAGTTTGCCTATTGAAGTAATTGTAAAAGCTGGAAAACAGTACAACAGAAGTCCCTGTATGGATGTAAACGTATTGAGGACCCAACGAGGGTCCGATGCAATGAGACAAGCCCCTAAATAAGCACAACATGTAAATGTAACAGGCAGTATGAGACTTTAATATATGGGATTGACAAAATATATACATAAGGAAATAAAATACCTGAAACAAGTTTCTGACAAAAGACCGTTGTCCTTGGTTTCTCTAATATGATTTGCTAATAATTTGATATGGGCATCTAAAATACATGGTATAAGTACCTAGTTGGGGAAATATATAAATATATTTAGAAAAGGACCTGTGCACTAAATAGTGTTTAACCTAACAGACATGCGTTATTATAAATAGACGTGTGTGACCACCTAGTGATATTATATCGTGAGCAAGAATCCCAGACGAACTGGACTAAATTATAAAAGACTATATAATCTGGTGAACATAAATCGTTATGAATGAATATGTGAATTTAACATGCAGAAGACTTAGGAACATTGGCAAACTACCGATCAGTGAATAGATATTTAAACAAAGAGGAGGTGGTGAGTGGAAAACCGCAAAGAGAATGCACATTTGAACAAACCAAATATCCATTAATAAATGCAGGGAATAACCGAACATAATTGTGTGAAATTTTGTGAACGCTTAAATGAACGGTGAACCCTTTACCAAGCCTTATGGGCTAACAAAGCATGTGAACAGTGAAGCTATGATATTGTTAACCCAAACAGTTTTAAACGAAAGCTTAAGTGTA